AAAGAAAGAAAGAAAGAAAGAAAGAAAGAAAGAAAGAAAGAAAGAAAGAAAGAAAGAGAGTAACACCCGAGTCTGTGTTACCCCCTTGGTACAGTTTGGGCGCCACTGTACTGTACTGCAAGTTGGGCAAGGGCCTGGAGATTGAAAGAACACACAAGAGACCTGGGTCATTCGAAAGGAGATCAGCTGAATGCCGTTTATTCAACTTTGGGGAAATTCTATTATACCTGGCTGCTGCACAAGGATTTCCGACCAGGCAGATGGGAAATTACCATACCAAAGTTGAAACAATGCCCTACAGCTAATCACCAGGCGAGGCAGAGGGAACACAGGAACAAACAGGATGCTTAGCTGGCTGACCAGAAACTGTCCTCAAGATGCACCCCAGGAACAAGGGTAGACCCAGGCCCTACAAGAAAGAAAGAACAAAAGAAAAAAACAAACCAAAACAAACAAACAAAAAAAGAAACCCTAAGACAGGAATTAATCTGAGATCCATAACTGAGCAGCATGCAGAGAGTAAGAGATTTTGGAGCACCCATCCCTAAATGAAATATATGTGTTAAACCATTCCCCTCAAGGCTCAAGGAACTATGCAAAAGAAGAGGCAGAAGGGTTATCAAAGACAGAGGTGGTGCATGACTCCAAAGAAACAGTATCATCCAGACATATATGAACTCAGACACCATGATAGCACACTACAAGACCTGCCGAAAAACTAGGTATAATACCAGTATGGAGAAGAGGGGGTAGACACAAAATCCCACCCTATCCAAGATGATATTTGTAACTGGTACTTGCTGGGGAAGGGGAAATCAGTTTTTTCCAATGGAGAGTCATTAGGTATGTCAACCACACTCCAGGGCAGGCCCTATACCCGGGAGTAGTTGGCCAATATAAAACAGGCTCCATTTTGTCAGACTTGATGGCACATGCCTTTAGTCCTAGCTCTTGAGAAGCAGAGGTAGACAAGGATCTCTGTGAGTTCAAGACCAGCCTGGTCTACAAAGTGAGATCCAAAATAGCTAGGGCTGTTACACAGAGAAACCCTGTCTTGAAAAACCAAAAAACCAAGCAACAAACAAACAAACAAACAAAAAGGCTCATTTTTGAAAGCATGTGTGCTTTTGCTTATTTTTTTTGTCTTATTGTGTTTTTGTCAGTTTGTTTGACATTTTTTTTTTCTGGGAGAGAGAATATGAAGTTGGATGGGTAGGGAAGTGGAGGAGGATCTGGGAGAAGTTTGGGGAGGAGAAAGAATATGACCAAAATATACTGTATGTAAGAGAAAAAAACTTAAATTCAAAATAAATTAAAAGCAAAATAAATAAGGGGCCAGGGTGATGGCTCAGGTGTTGTGTAAGCATGCGGACCTATGGTCAGATTTGCAACAGCCATGTGAAAATCAGGCGTGGTTCTATAACTCCAGTGCTTGGGGGGAAGGAGCAGGCAGATCCAAATCTTTA